TCTATGTCATAAGTTAAAGTTGAAACAATCCAAACCAAGTTTATCCTTCCAGATCTCCCTTAGTTCTAGCATGCATTCAATTTAGTGATCAAGTAAATGAATGTAGAAAAACTTTCAACCATAAAACGAGGAACAAAACCAGTGCTTTGACAACTACAACATCAGTTGAGGAGAATAACCCCTCGGAACTGTTTAGCTACTTATACAGATTAATGCTACATCTACTACATCGAAAGACATCATAGAAGAATGCATAATAAACAAAGTTCAAGCTAACAGTCAAGAGATAAGAAGGAAGCTTGTGCAGTTTCTGAGCCACTCCCGGGAGTGAAGGGGTTCACTCGTGGAACTGAAGAAGAAACTGGGTTGCTACTCTTCAACTTGGCTTCCTCACTGAGTTGTTGCTGCTTCTTCTTCTTTCTTGCCTTCTACCTGGAGCTTTTCTAGGTGTTTTTAGCAACTGAAAGGGTAACCAGAGATTGAGAGATGGATCCCTCATGTGAGAGTGCAGTTCCCTCTTTTATAGGGCCTTGCAACCGGTGTCTTCATCATGAGAGCCTTCCCATGCTTGGAGTTGTTTAATCCTCCCAATGTCTTGAGCCTGCAATCCAACTTGGCCGTTCCTTTTCTCTCTTATAGCAGTGGCCGTTTTGCCCTCATTGATCAGCAGTGGTGGCTGAGATTGCGGCTGGGGGACAAGCATGCCTCTAGGAGGAGGCAAGGTCATTAATGACAAGATGCTTCTTGTCTAAGGGCCTTCTTCTTCGTCCAGCTCAGCAACCTTGCCTCAGCAGCCCGTAAATTGCTCCTTTAGCGTCCAATTTTTAGCAATTATTCAATCCAGTCCTTACCTAACAATAACATGAAAACGAGCTAAGTAAATTGCACCAACGTTAGGAAATACCCCCAATTGTTCATCAAATACAAAGTTAATTGTGATGCTTTTATGTAACAATTTAGCCATTATCACGGAGCTCTCGAGAGTGCTTACTCACAGCAGTTAGAATCGGAAAGAAGACCGCACACCTTAACCCGGGCTCAGCCGTGTCAGAATGCTATTCAATTCGACAAACGGTCAACCCATCAGAGGCGGAAAATCCCGAGATCTCCAGCCCTCCCTTGTTCACCAGCAAGATGCGAGAGCTGATCCCGAGTGAGACTGATCCAACCAAGACCGTTCAAATTGGCGTTTCTCTTCAAGACCCATTGCTAGCCGAGGTCAAGGCCTTGCTATGCGAGTTCTGCGATATATTCGCTTGGTCCCCAGCATATATGACAGGAGTCCCTCGAGAAGTCATGGAACATAGGCTAAATGTTGACCCAAATATCAAACCAGTGCAACAGAAGAAAAGAGTATTTGCTCGCGAACGCAATGATGTCATCAACGAGGAAACAATAAAGCTAGTTCGTGCCATCATACTACGAGAAGTTCTATGACCTACTTGGTTAGCCAACCCGATCTTAGTACGAAAACCCGACAACTCTTGGCGTATGTGCCAAGACTACACCGACCTCAACAAACATTGCCCCAACGACTGCTATCCTCTACAAGTCATAGATCAGATGGTGGAAGGTATTGCCGGATACAGAGTCCTCAGCTTCCTTGACGCATATAAGGGATATCATCAGATCCTCATGGCACAGGAAGATGCAGAGAAGACAGCTTACATCCCCGAGATAGGGGTATATTGCTACGACAAGATACCCTTTGGACTGAAAAATGTTGGAGCCACGTACCAGCGTCTCGTAAACAGAACCTTTCATGACCAAATCGATCGGAACATTGAGATTTACGTGGATGACATGGTGATAAAGACCAATAAGGATAAGCAAGTAGCTGCAGATATGCGGGAGATTTTCACAATATTACGCAAAATTAACATGAAGCTGAATCCTAAAAACTGCACCTTCTTTGTAGGGTCAGGAAAATTCCTAGGATACCAAGTCTCCAAGGATGGAATAAGTGTTGATCCAGCTGGAATCGAGGCCATCTTAGCCATGGAAGCTCCAAAAACCGTCAAAGAAGTTCAAAAACTCACAGGCTCCTTGGCAGCCTTGAACAGGTTTCTGTCTCGAGCCGCGGAGAGAAGCCTTCCCATTTTCCATACCCTCCGCAAGGGCAGAAAATTCGAGTGGAATGTAGAATGCTAGAAAGCCTTCCAAGACCTGAAAGAGCACCTCAAGCAGTTGCCCACACTAGCAGTTGCCCTCGGCCGTGCTCGTGCAGCGCAAAGACGGGCAGAGAAGTCACCATCTATTTTATTAGCAAAGTCTTGCAAGGAGCGAAAACCCGTTATACGCCCATGGAAAGGCTTATCCTCAGCCTAGTCTTAGCCGCCCGACGTCTGCACCCATACTTTCAAGCACACCCATCATGGTTTTAATGGAACAACCAATTCAGCAAGTCCTACTCAAGCCAGAAGTGTCCGGCAGGATGATGAAATGGGCAGTTGAATTGGGCGAGCACCACATTGAATACAAGCCTCGATCAGCCATCAAAGGACAAGCCTTTGTAGATTTCCTAGTAGAAACGCCTCGAGCTATTGAGGTCAAGGGGGAATCTAACCCCTAGGTGCATAAATCGGTCATACACGGTAATTCTTCCCCCTGGAGGAGAGTTAGCTCTCTCGTTTCCTAATGGGGCTCTCGCCTCTAGGGCTGAGGGGAGGTCATATTTGGATCTAAGGTTCTCTACCTTATCAACCGAATCTTTGGTGGATACAAAGTCCAAACCAGTTTTTCCTTTGGAGTCCCTGACCATAATTTCGGCAAGAATCTACTCTGGCTACAATAGGAAAAGACAAAAACTTGAAACAAACCGGAGATTCAGATCTGGAAACTTACTAATGAAGGAGGACGTGATCACTCGCCTTTCGAATTATAAATTCCCAGCGTTCTTCAGAAACTCCAACTAGCAACTCCCCTAGGAACAGCGTTGCTGAGGTAGTGTCTCAGGCGAAAGCTTGAAAATTCCAGTTGGGAAAGGGGTTTAGAATGCTCTGGTAAAGAAGAATTCTTTGAGGACTGGAATGCTTTAACAGAGGAGAGAATTTCGAGTTATTTGCAAAGAAGGAAAATGATTAAGTGCAAAGGGACGGTAGAACTTTCTCCTTAAAAACAAAATTTATTCTCCCACGTTTCTCTAATTATAGACCACGATATGAAAGTTATTGCGGATTTCAAGGAAGTAATGATGTTGAGGGTGCCGTTTGGGGAACGTGCCCACTAATAACATGCAGTTGAAAATTTGGACGGGATTGGGAAGCGGGTCGTCTTCCCGGGTCAAGACCTGACCCGCCAGTTACTCTCGGTTTTCCGAGATCGAGAGTTGTGCGTTTGCATCGAGGTTGTTTGACATGTGGCTCGACAATTAGTCGAACAAGGGTAGTCTGTCCACTCTAGGGTATGTCCCAGGTAATACTTATTTTGTGCCAAGCGTTGTTTACCTTTACGTCACTAACACTTGGCAGGGGCACTTGACGAGTCCGTATCCATCACCGAGACTGGACCGGCCCACAAATTATAGAAAGAGTCCAACCGGGACTCTTAGGCCGGTGGAGATTTCTGAAACCTAGTTGGATTCGAGAATTGCCCAGGTAATCTCATACCTATAAATAGGGTAGCTCATACCACGGTATAGGTACGCAATCTATAGCTTAATAAACTACATACCTAAGCTTTCTAGCAACCCTTTTACTGACTTAAGCATCAGAGTGTCTACCCTCGGGAGACCCCGAGGCCTTGTTTTGCAGGAAACCCTAGCCAGAGTTCCACCATTAAACCGGCGGCACGTATCCGAGCATCGTCACACTTGATGCTTCTCAAGGAACCAGGGGGACACGGTAATCTGTTGTCTTTCCCTCAACCGAGCGTTCTCCTTCTCCAAGATAACCAGTTCATCATGGATTTCGGCCTCGAAAGTCAGAGAATCATCGTAGTCTTTCAAACTTTGATCCTCTCGAAGCTGCATCTCCTCACGAAGTTCCTTAATCTCATTTATCAGATGTTGATAGACTTTCAATTATAATAGGGGTATGAATTGTAGTGCGTAGAACTTACCTTTGATGTGAGGGGTTGATCCCTATTTATAGAGCTAGGTTATGAAATCTTTTCTTGGTACAAAAGTAATTAGGAACCGACCTAGAAACTTTCGAATAGTCGGTTGGATCGTTTCTCAAACTTGGGCCGGCCACGGTTGAGGGCCGCGTTTATTAGAGTCGTCAATTATAATGCTAGCAATTAGCTCACTTGTCACAATGCATCGAATATGAATAGCCCAATTGTCAAAATATATTGAATGAACCTCTGTAATGAAGATGGACATAATTGTTTTTCCTTGCATATGAGTGTGATTGTATAGGAATTTGCTAGCTATATGCTTAATTGATTGTAGTCGCAACCATTCATGTTGATCAGTTTACAAGACCTTTTAGATCACGAGTTTCAACAAATTAATAAAATCAGTTGCGATGTTACAAGCTAATCAAAATTTTACAAATCAAGTAGAAAGATTTTTTAGCGTCTTCTATTTTAGCAATAATTATACATGACAAAAACATAATTTGCTTTTATGAACAATATCATAATTTCCCATATTTGGAATTCACCCAGGATTTGCATTCCACCTAAGTCCTTTATAAATAGAAAATAAGAGTTGGCTCAAAAAATCAATCACGAACCACACTATTCATGAGTGAATTTTGAAAAGGCTAGAGCGCAATACTAGCCAGGTAGATTTCCTTCTTTTTTTTTTTTTTTTTTTTTGTTCTTTTCATTCCATATTACTCTGTGTATTGTTTTCAATTTTCTTGGAATTACATAGAACACTTTTTGCATTTCGGTGAAGACAATTGAAGTATACTTGGAGAGGTCTTTATATTGTTTCATGTTTTTGTTTCCTTTTAATTATAATACTATTGTAGCATATGATTTATTTTTCTTTTAATTAAACAAATTTAATGTTTTATTATCTTTGAAGGGGAAAGAAAAAGAAAAGATAGATGATGGACTTCGTAGGTCCTGAAGAAAATGGTAGTGGTGGTTCAAGTGATGAACATAACCGTGAAGATCCATTATACCGAGGAAGAGGCCAAAAGCTTTATCATCGCCACTCTGCTAATATCATCCAACACCTTGAAGCGTAAGTATTTTTTGATGAACTAACATGTGTTCTCTGGGGAACAATTTCATGACGTAAATTACAAGTGTGTGTGTGTGTGTGTGAGAGAGAGAGAGAGAGAGAGAGAGAGAGAGAGAGAGAGAGAGAGAGAGAGAGAGAGAGAGAGAGAGAGAGAGATAGAGAGAGAGAGAGAGTTTTTTTCTTTTTCTTTCCGTTTTCTATTTTATTAATTGTGTTTTTTCATGTTATGTACAAGTTTTACTCATGCCCTACGAGAATACTCATGCCCTACAAGAATAAATTATGTTATATGGGAAGATATAGATTTCAAATGATATATTTTTCTACATACGCAAGAATTGCTAGTATAATTATATATAGGTATTACCAGTGTCCATCAAATATGGCTAAATTCTCAACAATAATTAAATAAAAAGAAATTTTGGCAAAAGAGCAATAGCCAAAATTAGATTTTTTTTATTCAATATATAACATCTTCTATTGGATTCCAGTTGTGTTTTCTGTGTTAGATGATTTTTAACCGGGTAATTAATATTGTGCTTATTTCTCTAACTAAAAGTTTAATTGTTGTTTTAGATCTTTTTTGTAATTTTTTTCTTAAAATGCTTGTATTTTAAGTCATGGTTTTCTCTAATCTTCCTTTCTTCCAAAAATAATTTGGCCTATTATATGGATTTTGATTATATATTTTCCTTCATTTGAGTTTACTTGGATCACCTTGAAACTATATAATACATGTATGTCACTATAGTTTTATATGTTAAAAAAGTTTCTCTTTCTTCTTTTATCATCTAACTTTCAAATATCTTTAATGAGCATAAAATCCAAAGAATGATTACATAACTGTAGTTTTTCTTCGGCAATTCGATGAATTAAATATCTAAATAAAGTTCTTAAAAAATGTAATTCACGACTTGTTTTGTCTTCGTGAAAAGTTCTTCATAAAAAGTTCACTTGTTAAAATTCAGATTTTTCAAGGAGAACCAGCATCCAAATGAAAGCCAGAGGCAACAATTAAGTAGAGACCTAGGGCTTGAGCCAAGACAAATCAAGTTTTGGTTTCAAAATAAGAGAACACAAACAAAGGTACTGTCATTAATTAATTTCGATCAACAATGGTGGGTATGTATTTTTTTTTTTCCGCAATTTTGAACTGTTTATGCACTTAAATGCTGATATGTTAATTAATGCTCTCTCCCTTTTTTATGTGACTTTTGTTACAAAAATGTTCCAGGCTAACAATGAAAGATTAAGCAACACCGCTTTGAGAATAGAGAATGAACATCTTCATTATGAGAACATCGCAATGAATGAAGCCATGAAAAATCTTATGTGCAACAAATGTGAAGGGTTGGGTCCTGGCGGAATTAAAGAAGCCGGCCAAGACCTACAAAAGTTAAAGATTGAAAATGAATTCTTGAAGGGAGAGGTAAGTATTTACTTTTCTATGTCACATGATAATATTAAACAAACATTAAAATAATTGTACCTTAATGCATGCCTATTTGTGTGTGTGTGTGTGTGTTTTTTTTTTTTCTTTTTTTGTAGTATGAAAGAGTGCAAAGAATGATAGTAAATACCCAAGGAAGAATAGGTGGTCTAAGCTACAGGAATTTGTCACTCGATATTCCAAATTCTACAGTTGCAAATTTTGGTGGAGGAATCATAGGAGGAGGAAACCCTAGCAATAAAAATACATTATTTGGTATTGATCTACCAAACATCACAGGGTTAGGAAGACAACAAGTAGGGCAACTGAACCATTTTCCTAATATACAAGATATGGAACAATCTGTCTTCGTTACTAATGCGATTAAGGCAATGGATGAACTGGTAGAACTTGTCTCTATAGATGACCCGCTCTGGATCAAATCTCCTATTGATGGATCCTCCATGATTCACTCTGAGATCTACAAGAAACTTTATCCGAAAATCATGTATATTTATTCTCCTGGGACATGGATTGAGTCATCTAAAGAATCAGGGATTCTGCTTACGTCTACTTCGCACTTGCTTAATGTCTTTCATGATCCGGTAATATAATTAGTGTTCTCATCTTCTCTTATTCGTATTTTGGTGCTTATTTGCTTAAAAATAACTTGTTGCGCTTTGATATATTTTGCAGGTGATGTTTATGGAATTTTTCCCCACAATTGTCACCAAAACTAAAAAGATTGAAACGCTTGATACCCTAGGCCAGGAGGGTTCTTTATATTTGGTATGATACTTGGAAAGAAAAGTTTGGATTTTGAATGTTTGTTGATTTTGATTTTGATATAATATTATCAACTACAAGAAAGTAAGACTGTATTTTTTTTTTTTTTTTTGCCCTAGATGCACCAGAAGTTGCACGTGCTTTCGCCTTTGGTGGCACCTCGAGAATTCATTTTCTTTCGATACATAAGGCAAATGAATTCAACAACATGGATTATAACGCAATTTTCATACGATTTTTTCAAGGAAGTAGACACTTCAACTTCACATGCATGGTTGCTACCATCGGGTTGCATGATTGAGGACTTGTCCAATGGAACAACAAGGGTATTGATTCGTCTACATGTATTTTCCCTTAACCTATTGAAGTTTACCAAAATTTTTAAGTAATTGGTCTCGTACTACAATTTTTTCCAATTGAATAATTAATTTATGTCGACTATCATGAATTTGTGAAATGCGTAGGTGACTTGGGTTGAACACGTCCACGTGGATGACAAATCTCATCAACTATATAAGGATACAATTTGTGATTCCCAAGCCTATGGAGCCAAGCGATGGATTGTCTCTTTAGAAAGGACTTGTGAACGGTATGCATTTTTAGCAGGACTCAAACCTACACCAAGTGAACCTCAAAGAGGTATGTAATATTAATGGTTCAAATATTTATGCTCTTTACGATTCAGAAAACAATTATTAAGTTCATCAAATATAAAAAATAAAATTACTGTGCTACTACATATTATTGTAAAATTCATGTTTCTACAATTGTTTCATGCAGTGATCAACACGACACAAAGTAGAGCAGCCATGGGAAAGATTTCGGATAGAATGGTGAAGAAGTTTCATCAGATGCTAAGTATGCAAGAAAAATATTTTGATTCTCCCCAGTTACCAAAATTGCCGAATCACGATTTTAAAGTTTTATTAAGAAGATACGACAATCACTCTTCAACAGCTGGAGCCAATGGGATGGTGGTTTGTGTTATTGCTTCCTTGAGGATCCCAACTTACTATGAAAATCTATTTAATTTCTTGAAAGATGACCAAACTAGAGCTCACGTAATAAAATAACATTTCCTCACTCTCTATTATTATTAATAAAAAATAGTGCTAAAATAGCTCAATATTTATATACTAAAAAAATATTTTTTTTCGTGGAAATCAAATTGTGAAGTGGGATGTTTTGTCCAATGGAAATCCCGTCGAAGAAATCGCACACATCTCAACCGGAAGTCATCCTGGAAATGCCATCTTTCTCAAGCAGGTAACTATTTTTGTATGTATTTATCATTTATTTGTATTAATTTTTGTGCAAAACTCACTAAAAAAAAAGAAGCTAAAATTTTCATGATATATAAATAAATGTAATGTGACAGCCTGGTAGTAGTACAAAGGAGAATAGCAACATGTTGATACTTCAAGAAAACAACATAGACCGGTTGGGAGCTTCACTAATTTATTCTCCTCTTAAATTCCCTACGGTGATGTCTATAATGTGTGGTGTGGACAATCCCGAACTACCAACATTACCCTCAGGCTTCGTCATTGCAAATGAGTCTTATCGTAGAGTTGATGGTGGTGGGATTAGTCATGGAGGAGCTTCTACTTCTTGTTCTTCGAGCAGACCAGGAGGCGGAATGTCATCGTTGCTGACGGTGGTTTTACAGATCCCGACATTTGATATTGTTGAGGAGTCAAACATGGTGGATTCAATTGCTAGTATCTATGAGCTCATGAACTCCACCATTGAAAAGATCAAGATAGCTGTTGCAACTGATGTTGAGTGAAAAGAGATTTTTGGTATTGTTTGTATATGTAATTTGAATTTGATTTTTATTAACGATTTGAAGTATTACTTTTTATCAACATTGAAATTTGATCTTTGTTGAGGATGGATGTTTTAGTTTTCATTGGGTTTTTTCATTTTTATTTTTCGCTTAAATTGAATTAGTTTAGCGAGAGTTAAAATTTTGTTTTCCTAGAAAGAACTATCCTAACAATAACCCTTAACCATTCAAGCCCTTTTCTTGGCATCATGAATCTTGTTTCCGAACTCTCAAATAACATATCCTCAATGATTTTCACTATTTCATATGTCAGTGCTATAAATCTGTCAAAAAATTGACACAAACTTGTAGGGAAAATCCTAAAGGGGCTAGAAATAATACTAGTCATCTAGCACAAGTGTCATGCAATATATGCAAAAAAGATACCCTTGGCACTTCTTTCATGTTAGTATTTATTGAAAATGTGATTTCAATTTATTAGTACTAATCGGTGGTAACTAATGGTTGATAGTGGAGTTCAACAAAAGTTGATGGTTCTGGAGGTCTTTAATTGACTTGGATATGCGGTCTAGGCTTTTTGATATTTTTATTAATATTGCAACTACACTACGATAAACTCATCGTTTACAGAATGAAGTCAATATTTTGACAATATCAACTTAATTGGAAAATGTATAAACTTAGCAAAAGATGATAAACTAAATCCTCGAGATATCAAATAGTACTATAGAAGAATGGGACAGCACATTGCGAATCTAGTCAGGATAAAGTTACAATTCTCAATGACAAACCCTAAGTAAGCCTCGGTTTTTTAATGTGAACATAGAAAGATGCTCGCCCAGTTCCCTTTGTCTACTTGCAGAGGTCAATGGAAAGTTCCATATCGATCCTCAGGCCCTCGCAGCTTACCATCTACTGATAATGAAGAACGCTTATGAAGTTAACAGTTATTTTGAGTATAAAATTTCAAATCACTTTTTAAGTAGTTTTCGATCACCTTTTATAGAAGAAAATATATTATCTATTGCATGTAGTTAATCTGATGATGAGCAATAGCTCAATTGCAAACAGTACTTCGAATAAGTCCATACAATGAAGATGATCATTTTCTGCATTAATTAGTAAAGATTTTATGAACTTGCCTTTGAATGTCCGTTATGCTAAGTCGATTTTAGTAACGACTTGTAATTAACTGTTCTTTTTTGGTAAATGGTAAATTATATTACTTTGCTTCAACCTGTCAAACTTTACAAACATACTGACTGCTATATCAAAACCATCTATCACTGTACCTAATCTAGATTAAGTAATCTAACTCCTTCTTTAGCTTGATTTTTTCCACCTGAAAGTACCATACCAGCTCCTATTTTGCCTCCGCACTTCTTTCTATCACTTGTTGCTGCACCTGGGTGAATCTTCTTGCGTTTCTTTCAACCCATATATTGTAGATACAAGCTGTCACTGCTCCACATACAAGGTTCTTTTTCAGTTTGCTGTAACCACAACCATTCTTGATTCGGCTATGCACCAGCACTACTCTTATGCCTTTATACTCCAGCCATCCCATCAGTTCTTGCAACATCTCCTTGCAAAAGCGCATTCAAATAGCAAGTGCTTTACAAATTCCTGAGCCCCTGCATCACACATATATTCAGTTTCTCCAGTCTAAACATAGTTAGTAATCTATCTTGACTTGCTAGCCATGCCTTTATTTTTCTTTTTTTTTTTATTTTTTCTTTTTTTCTTTCCTTTTTTCTTTTCTTTATCTTTTTTTCTTTTTTTTTTTTTCCTTTTTTCTCTTTTTTTTTTTCTTTTTTTCCCTTATCTCTCCATTGATGATAACCCCTCTACACAGTATACACTGTACTCCCCAACTTCCAAATACCAGCATCCACATCAACCTTCAATCCGTTTGTTATCTTCATCATTCTCTTCCAGTGCCAGTTATAGTCCATTGGAGGTTCGTAATCTCAAACAGTTTTGCCTTTCAGTTAGTATTCGTGCACCAATTTGACCCATAGCACCTGTTTGTGGGCTACAATATCCCATATTTGTTTAGCTAGTGCTGCCTCATTCCATACGCTAGGATCCCTGACATTAACCCCCCAATTGTTTGGTCTGCATACATGATCCCAGGTCAATAATGCCATCCTCCTGCCTGTTTCATTATTCCCCCATAAAAAGATCCTACATAATCTTTTAATTTGAATAACTACACTCTTTCGCAACAAGAGTGTATTCTCCCAGTTCACATACATCGAACTAAGCACAGAATTAATCAGCTTTGATCTCTAACTCTTCAGTCTTTTAGTTATTCTCTCCACTAACTGTTGACAATGTCTTTCTTTCCATTTGGCTGGAGATATTGGCAATCCCAAATATCTCATAGGAAAGCTCCCCTCCTTAAATTCCATAAATCAATTGATTTCCCCCAATTCTTCAGTAACTCTAGCACATAGTACATTAGACCTGCTTTTGTTTACATACAAACCTGTTGTTTCACAAAGTGATTCAGAATTTCCTTAATTTTTTTTACTGAGAGCATTTCAGCCCTACACAAGATTATCAGATCATCCGCAAACCCTAAATTTGTGAGGCTTCTCACATTTCAGATGCCGTTATATCAAGGGGGAGAGAGGATCTCCTTGTCTTAGCCCTCTCTTCCCTTCAAAACAGCCCACACTACTACCATTGAGGTTCAGCGCAAAACAGCAACTAGAAACACCCATCATTACCCATTTTGTGAACTTTTGAGGGAAACTAAAGGCCTCTAACATTTCATCAATGAAATTCCAGCTTACAGTATCATAAGCCTTCCTAATGTCCACCTTCATCATACAACTAGGCATACATAATCTTATCAGCTCTTGGGTTAGGAGAATACTATGAACTCTTTGCCTTCCCTAAACAAAAGCCCCTTGATTACTCTCCACCAAACTAGGCAAAATTTTGCTAATTCTATTACATAGCATCTTAGAGATGCAGTTTTTTAGGAAAATCCAAGGCGATACCTGGCGGGAAGATCCCGATTTTATTAATACAAAAAGAAAAGTACAAGGAACAGTGCTTAGAACATACCCAAACAATAAGAAACCGTCTTATTAAAGTTTATCTAAAAACTCCATAACGGTTCTAATGCATATTACCACTAAGAAACTGTCTTACAAAAGATTCTCTAGAAACATTGATGGTTCTTTTATAAAAGAAGTATAAAAATTCAATCAGTCTAAGAGGTTGTCTCACAAAGATTCATCTAATGATCCCATGACAGCTCTATTTACATTTAAATCTATTACAAAATATTACATCTTAACATTTTCTATCTTATCCTTATATAATGAAAACTAAGTTGATCTAGAGCCAATTTACCTTTCAATGATGTTGGAAAATTAGCATAACTATCAAATTGCAAAGTAACCCCTTGAGATGCCTATTTAGCCAACTCATCTACTACATTATTCAGTTCTCTGTAAACATGCATTATCTTTGAGCTCGTCTGTTACAACAATCTTCCGATTTTGGTTAAGGTCTCATGATGCCTCCAAGGAAAAACTTCTACATTTTGAAACATATTGACAATTGCCATACTATCTATTTGAACTATTATCTTGCTGAACCTTCTTTGTTTACATATCCTAACTCCATTTAAAAATGCTGCAATTTTCGTTTCCAGACTTGTTGCTACACCGATTAGCGCATACTCTGTATTCAATGCTTATTCTTCTGTTTATCATGTTATCATTTGTCTTATACGAGTGTATGGTTGCACATGTTTTTTTCTTGTTCTTTTAATATGAAACTCTCATTCCTAAGTAAATTTATTTCTACACAGTTGGAAGTGGGTTTGGAGGGCACCATGAGTTGAGTTTGGTTTCATGGACAAGGTTGAGTGGGGATTTCTCCTTCTTTTTTTTTTTTTTTTCTTTGCCTATGAGTAAGTGAAGGTGAATGTCGGGGAATGGGGAATGGGGGGATTGTGAACGGGTACTAGATTCAACTCTAGGAAACCGAGAATGATGCAATAAAATCCTGCTTTACACTCAACAGCGGTCCATGCATTTTAAGTCTTCCTTCGACTATTCTGATATGATGGCTTCAAGTTCTTTGCTGGGCTAGATACTCCGGGTGTATTCATGGTAAGCTAATGTAGACAGTTTTGTTTTAGAAGGTTTTGTCGGCTTTGCATCTCTCATGCATATTTTACTTTTGAGAGAGATCAGCATCGTATGGAAAGAAGATATGTTCAAGTATTCAAGTCGAAAAGTTAGACTGTTGTAATGCTATTGCTACTTCTGTACATTACGTTTATAATTGGTATCAGGGATCACCGAAGCCAACTCGTTCGAGAAGGTATCTGGACAATGATAACTTGGACGACAGCGAAGCACTAAGGTGCGAGGCTGCCAATAAATGGGTGTACAAACTCAAGCGGAATGGTGACGACCAAGTGGAGCGGTATCGCGCTACACTGGTGGTAAAAGGATATGCTCAGAAAGAAGGGGTTGACTTCAATGAAAGTTTAAACAATTGGCTACAGCAGACTCTACGCAGATGTGCGTATTTCAAGAGGTTTGGAGAAGGTGATTCTATCATCTTGTTGTTGTATGTTGACGACATGTTGATAGCAGGCCCCAACAAAGATCGTGTAAAGGAATTGAAGACTCAGTTGGCTAGGGAGTTTGAAATGAAGGACTTGGGACCAGGAAACAAGATTTTTGGGATGCAAATTCACCGAGACAGAAATAATAGGAAGATTTGGCTTTCTCAAAAGAATGTTTTGAAGAAAATCTTGCGGAGGTTCAACATGCTTGATTCTAAGCCGATCTCTACCCCTCTTCCTATTAATTTCAAGTTATCCTCCGAGATGTGTCCTAGCAGTGAAGAGGAGAGGATGGAAATGTCTCGAGTACCGTATGCATCAGCAGTGGGGAGTGGTTAGTCGATACATGGCAAATCCTTGTCGAAAGCATTGGAGTGCTGTTAAGAGGATTCTCCGATAT